TGCCCACGATGTGACTAATACTCAAGGAGAATACCAGACGAATGGGAGAGAGTCTGACTGCATTCTGGATGTGTGACAGCTGACAGCTTTGAAGCCCCGCCTCTCCCTTTTCCCTGCTCGCCCCACACCTGGGGAAAAGCACAGGTAAGTCCAAGTACTCTGCCTCGGCGCTGGTGGGAGGTTCAAACCGTGGAAGTCCCTGCCTTTGTGGGGAACCTTCAGCTCCACCCCATAACCAGAATGAATGCTGAAGCCACTCACCCCTACGTTCCCTTTCAGGCCATTCTGGACCTGCTTGGGAGCCTTGTAGATTATTAGGGAAAATCTAGGAAACATGATCTTAACCAAAATAGTGGATTTATTACCAGATTGGAAAGCTGATGTCAGCAGTTTGGCCACAGTCACACTTCCTCCCACAGAGATATTCCAGACATTGAAGCGCTAAGCAGATAGATTTATAATTCCTGCAGGATAAACTACACCCTGGGTACACAGTGAGCAGACAGCACATGCAGATTTAATGAGAGAGAACCTGCAGGTACTGCTGGGTGAAGAAAGGACTCTGCAGCTAAAATGTTTAACCACTGACTACCTTAACACTGCTCCCAAGAAAAGCATTTAAGAAAATTCTCTCCCAGATTTGTTCCATGCCAACCATTTATTGCAGCCGGTTATGTTAATAAGTAAGTCTGATGGGGACCTTTTCCATGCAAAGCGACACATCTATCCCTAAAGGGATGGTCCACGGGAAGACAGTTCTCATCAAGTTTCCTGTCACTCTGCAGCAGGGCCTGATGCTCAGGTCTCCAAGGAGAAGTATTCTGCTCTGGAGAATAAATACCATTTCAATGATCATCAAAATGCAATGCTACAGTATTTGCCTTATCAGAGCTAGCTACAAAAAAAACATGTGGAATGTATTAGGGAATCAACTGAGAATCATGAAGAAAAATGGTATAATGTAAGACCATGGAAAATTAAGGGGCAGTTTTCTTTAGTTTTGGATTTCATGAGCATTTTAACATGACCAAAATTATAGCTTTAAAAAAAAAAAAAGAGTACCACACTTGTTTGGAGTTCCAAAGACTTCAAACAGTAACATTAATGGTTATACACATAGCTCTGTGAAGATGGTGCTAAAGCATCCTTCTCTGGGTCAGGGAAAGCCAATTAGGATGGATGCTCCCACAGAGATTGGTTCTTCCATCACGTGGAAGGAGTAACTGGATAATGAAGAGAAAGCAAGGGAATAGAGATATCAAAGAAACGTTTTTCTTTAGTTGCTCAGAGATCGCACAGCTGCTCATGGCTGACCAAGCCAGCATTCTCTGGAGGTGGGACATTTTAAAGGGACAACAAATGTCACTATCGGTACGTAGTTCCTCTTTACTGGGTTTCTGGAATCTCTCCATCAGACTACAAGGGATGGAACAGGAGGACAGTTCTCCGGGAAGTAAGGGGAAGCTAACTAGGTTTAATGGGAGGTACTTAGCACAGTACTTGGTATACAGTCTCTCTCCCTTGGTGTCCTCATAGCCAGCGTGCTACATGTGAACCTCATTGTGGTTCTCAGACCTTCCGGCTTCCATTTTGGGCCAGTAACTCAAATTCCTAGAGGCTTATCCCAAGTCCTTTGGGGCTGGAAGTCCTCCTTCGTTCGGAGTAGTGCTCCTTTCTCTATATAAAAGGATCTCGTCTCTGTCCCTGCTCCTCACAGTCTGGCTGGGCTTTCTTATCAACCTCTGCTTGCTGACCAGTTTCTAGGATTTCTCCTCCCGGGCCACATCTCCGTCAGAATCCCTTTTGCCCCCTTCTTCCTGGTGTCTCTTCTACTCAGGACAAGTTCCAAACATGAATTAATTCTGGCCAGAGTTGGAAAGTGAAGAGATTGAGGGAGGCCAGGGTAACAGGGTCCTCTTGCCCACAAGAATTAAGTGAGAGCTTATGGGTGCTTTTAGCTTCACTTTTCTCCCTAAGGCAGATCTGCCCAGTGACAGTTCACATCACACCATTTGCTTTTGGCCTAGCTCCCAGGGCCAGCTTAGCACAGGGCCTGCCGTGTGTCCTCTGCCCCCAGTGGCTGGCTCTGCTGAGTATGGCTGTGCAAGGTCACCATGGGGGCTGCAATGCACGCTCTGCTCAACCTGTGTCTCAGGCAGGGTGTTCCCACAGAGAGGGCGTGCCCCTAATTAGTACAAAGAGTGTGTACTTGCTCAGCCCAGTGATAAGAAAAGTGCATGCATTTTCAGAGGACGAATTAGCATTAGGGGAAAAGCTCACTTTTTCTTTAAAACCTCCTAGATAAAACCTGTGACCAATTTTAAGAAGGCTAGGCTGTAGAGCAGTGTGTAGGAGGAACATGCACACATCTTGTTACACTTGGCGACATTCATTCATCACACCCCCTCTATACTGCCACATCTCTCCCAATACAGCAACCATTTCCAGACACTAGAAATACTTACATTTTATACTGTGCTTACTACAACTGACTAAATGTCTACTCAACTGTCAGGAGAAATGCTATAGTTAGAGAAATTCAACGTTATCCCAGATTTTTACAAGTCTAATAACATTTTACTGTGCATAATGTTCACAATAGTAAAAAACAATTAACAATTTGAAAAAGTATGAATTTATTCACACTTTCATATTCCAAATTCTTTGCTCAGGGTTAATTTCAATTCGTAGTAAGAGAAAGTAGCTTTTTATATTTCCTAAGCATACTCTAATTTCAATTTTTGCCATCATCTGTGTCCAGGTCTCAAAGGGAAGACAGGTTTATTATATATAGTCATTTGGGTGTTTAAGAACCCACACTGCCATAGATATTGTCCAAGGAACACTACAGCAACCTCCACTCTGCAGCAAAGAATCATCACATACAGAGTACAGAGCAGCATCTCTGGCCCTTGTGAGCTGATGTTGGAAAGGTGCCCAGGTTGAGAGAACCATCCAAAGAGTTCACTCTCTTGTCTGGCCAGTGTGGCTCAGTGGTTGAGCACTGACCTCTGAACCAGGATGTCAGGGTTTGATTCCCCGTCTGGGAACATGCTGGCTTGATCCCCAGTTGGGGGCATGCAGGATGCAGCCAAACAATGATTCTCTTTTATTGATGTTTCTATCTCTCTCCCTCTCCCTTCTTTTCTGAAATCAATACAAATATATATATATATATTTTTAAAAGAGTTCACTTGCCGAAAACTGGTTTGGCTCAGTGGATAGAGCGTCGGTCTGAGGACTGAAGGGTCCCAGGTTCAATTCCGATCAAGGGCATGTACATTGGTTGCAGGCACATCCCCAGAGGGGGTTGTGCAGGAGGCAGCTGGTCAATGTTTCTAGCTCTCTATCCCTCTCCCTTCCTCTCTGTAAAAAAAATCAATAAAATATATATTTTTTAAAAAGAGTTCAATCTCTAAAATGTCTAAGTACTTTACCTCCTTCACCAAAGTATAACAAGTATGACTTAACATTTTCTAATGACACAGCACCTTAAGAGAGAACAATGGCTGTGAAGGGAAGAGAACTGGGTTTGACTCATAGATCACTATGCACTGGAGAATGGCATCAGTCATTCACCGTGCTTCCTGGGCTGGTCGGGTTATGATGGGATCACTGCATTCCCAGGGGCTGTCAAGAAGGCTGGGAAAACAGCACACAGAAAGTGCTCAGGGCAATGCCTTGGCTCTTGTAGGAGGTGCCCGATGAAATGCCAACCCCCTGCCTGTCCCCTCAGTACATGATCTGAACAGTGGAGTTATTACCGCACTAGAGGCCTAATGCACGAAATTCATGCAAGAGTAGGCCTTCCTTCCCCCAGCTGCTGGCACCGGCTTCCCTCTGGCACCCGGGACCCAGGCTTCCTTTGCAGCCTCGGCTTCATCCGGAAGGTTATCCGGGAGGATGTCTGGTCTAATTAGCATAGTACGCTTTTATTCTTATAGATCTGTGCTGCAGGCTTCTCACCCTTCTGTGGATGGTCAACAATGAGTCATTGGGCAGAATAAATGCAACTTCAAATCTGGCCCTAGGATTTGCTTTTTTTTTTTTTTTTTTTTTTTTTTTTAAGCACTAATACCAAATATCTAACTATATATTTTTCACATTTGGCTTTCTTTCTCCTCATACTGTAAAAGTGGGATATGAGCATATGACTTCTAAGAAATAGGATATGGCTGCCCTACTGCATAATTGTTTCACTAACTTAAAACTATTAGTAGCTAAGAACCACAAAGCTTGAGATCTGAATCATATTGTCTTTATGCAGTTTTATTTTGATTTGCTGATAGCTGTACACTAACATGGCTCTTGTATTCGAGAGGGAGGGAGGGAGGGAGAGAGGGAGGAGGGGGAGGGAGGGAGGAAGGGAGGGAGGAAGAGGGAGAGGGAGAGGGAGAAGGAAGGGGGGGAGAGAGAGAGAGAGAGAGAGAGAGAGAGAGAGAGAGAGAGAGAGAGAGAGAGGGAAATTGTTCTCTGGAGATACATGTTAGTTCCACAACAATTTCAGTAATGAACAATTTTGCCTTTTAAACCATCACATTCTAATCTTGACCCCTTAACTCTGAGATATTTGAAGAGGACAGGGTGCCAAGATGCTAGACATAGCCTTTCGGGGTTTTACTTTTTTTTTTTTTTTTTTTTTTTTTTTTGGGGGGGGGGTCTTGTTTTTAAGCCAAAACTGAATCACTGAGCTTCAGTGATAACAACGAGAATTCAAGTTATCTTGCAAACTCCCGTTTAATAGTCCTTTAGGATGTTTTAAAATTATACCAACAAACCACTGAGCTAAGATGAAAATATTATGTTCCCTGGGTCCTATTTAAAAATCACAGTGCTTTACTTACCTTTCCATCATGTAGCTATAAAATTAAAGATGTGAAAATTTGTTAAAACATCGAGATGCATAACAAGAAAAATAATGAAGTCTCCTGCCTCAAGGAGAATCTCCTCTGATTAGCTACAGTTAACATGTTCGGCCTCTTAGATGCCCTGTACCATACCTGTCCTGTGTATGCGAACTCCAGAGCCTGCTTTAAGCCAAGGCTGGTCACACCATGCAAATTCACCTCATCAGCTCCACTTTCCACCATACAAAGACTGAACATGGCCTGAGGCGGGGAAAAGGAAGAGACAGAGAGTTATGGAACTTAAAAAGCAAGGGAACAAGGAAAAGTCCTAGGGAGACTAGGAAAGAAAAAAGTGTTATAGGTTCCAGACTGATACTGGTTTCTGCACTGCTATGACAAAGCTTCATTGACACAAGCCACTGCAAACTACTGTCTCACCAGCTACAGCAATACACAAAGAGCACTGCACACCCCACACGCAGACTCTCATTTACTCCCACAGCCCTTCTTCGGGGTGACTGTGTTTAGACTCACTCCCTGAACTCCTTCCCTCTCTGGATCCTGGGATTTCATGAAATATGCAGCACTCCCAAACACTCTGGTCAACAGGGCATGGAAAGCACACCCTTGTCTCCAACTGTTCTTCCTTTATTCCCCGTCTCAATGACACAGCCCATTCCTCTCTTCTGCTACATTATCACACACTAGTCCAGTGGTTCTCAAAATGTGGCTCCTGGGCTGCCAACATCGGTACAGCCCAGAAAATCGTTATAGATTCTTGGGATGGGTGTGTGTGTGTGTGTGTGTGTGTGTGTGTGTGTGTGTGTGTAGGGATGCCGGGGGAGTGTCCCAGGACCTGCTGAATCAGAAACTCAAAGTCAGTCCAGCAATCTGTGTTGTAAGGATCATCCAGGTGACTCTGATGCTCACTGGATTTTGAGAGCCACTGTCAAAGTTATTCAGTGAAAGTCAACATGCCCCTAAACTAACTCTTCAAATGGCCTACATCAGTTCTTCCACTGAATGACTAATATGTCAAACGGAAACTTGAAAATTAAACCATAAAAACTTGCCACATTAAACAAATGCATAGGTTTGCCTTGCCCACCACAAAAGCCTGTAACAAGTTTGACTTTGTGTTACTGATGATGAAATACACTACTCTGTGTAGTGCAGACTTAGCCTCACCCAATGAGGTCTGCCTTTGCCCTGTGTTTCTGGGACGTGATCTCTAGGCCCTCAGATTATCCTGCTGATCAGTGTCTTGGTGTGTCTGAGGCTTTGACCACTGAGTCTAGGGAACGTGATTTATGATGAGGTTGGAGCCACACCATATCAGTTCTGACCTCAGCGGAACTGGAGGTTAAAGGTATGAACTGGAGGTCCCGGGAGAGGCTAGAGAGGAAAGGCCAGACATACAGGCAGCTTGCAGTTGAGCCCCAGTAAAAACGCGGACACCACAAGCCTGGGCGAGCTTCCCTGGTTGGCAGTCCCCTGGGCACAGGCCGCACAGCATGGCCGGAGGAGGTAGCAGGCCCCACAGGAGGCGGGTGGCCAGAAGCGCCGTATCTGGCCGCCTTCTGCACTGTGCCCTAGGTGCCTCTTGCCTTGGCTGGTTCTGATTTGCATCCTTTCCCTGTAATAAGCCAAACCCACGAGTATGAAAGCTTTCAGTGAGTTCTGTGACTCTGTCTAGCAAACTATTGATTATGAAAGTAGTTTTAGAATCCCCTCAAACTTGTCATTGGTTTCTGAATGAGAGAAGTCTTATACTGTCCCTTGAGATTTTATAATTTGGCTCATTCACAAGAAAAAACAAAAAAAACAACAACAATACAACATACCTACCTCATTGTTCTATGTGGTAATAGTTCAGCTCCCCTTAAATCTTTTTAATTTTAAAAATGTCATATTTTGTTCTGCCAAAGCATTAATATATACCTTTAGGAATTTTCAATTTTGATAAATTTTTTTGATGCTCATAATTTTATACATTTTAAATTAATAATATATTTAAGTTTCAGAAATTTACTTTATTTAAAATAAAATCTAACCTTTAAATTTTAACCTTCTAAATTGATCCTATGGAATCTGTTAAGGGCCTATGGTCAATGGGGTAAATATGGGAACTGGTTAGTTAGTGACTTGATCTGGCTTCCCACTGGTGTCACCAGCAGTTAAGACACTGTTTGGCAGGTTTAAAAGACTTTATTTGAAGACACATGATCCTTGGTTTGGTGAAGCACAGTGTTTAAAGCAAATTTTTAACAAAACAATTCTAGGTTTGATCACTGGCAAGTGAGAATGACAAACATGTAACCTGACTCAGTTTTCTTACCTGAAAAATGGGACTAATAACTTGTTTGAAGATTATATGACAGTATATATGTAAAGTATTCAGCACATGATATATGGCCTGATAACAAGCATGCTCTTGGTGAAATTTATATTTTGTGATAATAAAATAAAGTTTCTTTTATACATTCTCTGGTTAAAATGATTGATACATTAGAAGTACCAGTTTCTGGGGGTATTTGGAAATCAAGTGTGAGCTATACATTAAAAAATGCTAACAGGAAATTGACTTTAATGTTAAGTGTATTATGCTTATATATTTATAGAAGATCTAAAATCTTAAAATTAAAAAGTACAGGTCACAATAAAAATAATTATTTCAATTTGTGTAATTCTGAATTTGCTTCCAGACTTCTTATAGCCACTTAAAAAAAAAAGAAAGACATTTCAGGTGTTTTCAATACCTTTTTTAAAAAATTAAATTTAGTGTTTCAGGTTTTAATGTTCCCCGCACAAATTTCTTTTTTCAGATCCTCTTAAGTTGAAATTGCACCTGACAGGGTGACCAGATGCTCTCCATCAACCCCATATGCAGAGCAAGAAGAAGTGACTCAGACTGCAGGACAATTATCTGGGTTAATGAAATGGAAAAAAGTTCCTGGGAGCAAAAGTTAAATAACAGAACAAGCTGCCAAGGGAGATTTTTGAATTTGCTTTCGTAGGTGTCTTTCAAAAACAACCAGGGCAAGTGGCATAGAACAGGCTTCCTCAACTAGAGGGTTGTGAGCTACTGAACGTGAAACCTGGCCTGGTAGAGTTGTGGCAAGAAAACAACCCCTTAAATAATGTGCATATGCATTTGAATATGTTTGCATCAGCAATAAAGGAACACCAAATTGGTCACTGGGGTTTTATTATAGGTTATGACTGTAGAGGAAGGAAGAGACTATTAATTTAGTCCATTTGCATAGTATTATTTGGACCATTACAATGGTCACGTTACCGGTCTATTTCTAACAAGTGCCTTTTGAAAACTTTATTTCTAATGTCTAGGACTATATAGGAAGACGCATCTGATTCGACTCCTAGTTCTACAACCAGGCAATTTACCTTGAACATGTGACCCTGGCTAATTTGTTAACTTCTCTAAACCTCAGGTCCCTTATTTGTAAAATGAGGATAATACCAACCTCATAGGGTTGCATTAAGGTTTAGATACAGTTTTGCATAATACATGCTTGATAAATAGAAACTGCTATTCTAATCCACTCTGAATGTCCTACTCTCCCATGCATCCTTTTGATCCTCATTGGACTAAGAATTAAGAAGCAGCCCTCTCTTCTCTTCTCTGTCCAAATCCATTCCTTTCAAATACTTTCCTAATGACAATCCTACTCAAAATTCCTATGATTGGCTGCAGTACTTCACTTTCACCCCCTATTCCTAACCCTACTTTAGGGACAGACCCCATCATAAAAACCATCACCACTATCTCTATAATCACGTAGTTTCCATTCTGGTATCATATCATAAAGTTTTAGAAATTTGATGTTACAAACTTAATGCATCACCATTTTTAAAAAGTAGAAAATTAGTTAATTTAAAAAAAAAGGTAATTATTAAATCAAGGTCAATGTCTTGAGTTTAACAACCTTACAAGAAACCTCAAATAGGAAAAGGCTCCCAGGATACCACCAAAGTAAGAAAGAACCTGGCCATTTGACAGATTAAAACACCAGCTAACGAGGCTGCCCGAGCTTGTGAAACAATGTCTGGAGATCTGCCCGAGTCCACGGGGAAGGACAAAGCCTCTTTGGTAGCAAAAGAGGTGAGGAGACCAGGAGTGCTATCTTTTAGTTTTAGCATTGATCTCCTTGAAAAAGTAACAGCTTCATGAAAGTGAGTTCCACGTCTTCCTTATTCACTGTAGAGATTCTAGACCCTAGCAAATACAGGTGAATGAATTGATGAACAAATGAACAAGCTCTTCAGAAATTCATCTCTGGATGATGTCCAGCTGTTCTACACTGCTATAAACAAAAATAATTTGACATAAGAAATAATTTTCATGATGTAAGATGTTTTAGAACCTGGGATATAAAACATAGCTAAAGTTAAAGAGTATCTACCATAAGTTAAATACAAGTAAGTTCAAAGATACACATTTGGAAAAAATTAAGAACATATGGTAATGTCCTCCATTAAGCCACATATCCCAAAGCATGGGATAAGGTTCTGCCTATAAATATGAACGCATTGCATAGGTTCTTCCTTGGTTCACACTGTATTGTCTTTGGGAAAGCCTTGGCCGGGTTGAGATTTACAATTTTGTCACTTCTCACTCTTGGCTGATAAAGTACTGCCACCTCCACAAATCTTTCTAATTGAAAACCCAGTTTGTGAGACCACAATCCACTAAGTGCCTACCTCAGAGAGAGAGTTGTGGATTTATAGTGTGTCATTTATCCTATATTTCACACAGAAGTGACACAAATTGAGTCCTAACATCACAGACCATGAATTAAGTTCCCCTGGGTCATGTTAGTTGTCATGCAGTCACAAGATGAGCTATGACCAATTTTAGGTTGGTACTTTATGCCACAAAACTGACCAATGAAAAGTCTAGATCTTCAAAGATAAGTAGAATGATAGCTGATAAGACTTTTTAAAGCACTTTAAGTTGGTGAAATATGTTCTTTTTAGTAAACTATTATATGTAGCCTTAGAATTAACACTAGACAAGAGCAAAATGTACTCCGAAGTTACAAGGAATACAATTGATTTTCCAGGTGAAATAACTGGATTGTTTTCAGCACATCTAACCCTTATCTTTTTACAAGAGAGTTAAATAAAAGTAAACAAGAATGTTTATGAAAGTTATTGAAAAAAAGTAACTTACATTGATTGCAGCAGATCTAGCCTGATCCTCCTCCTCTTTTATATGCCCAGTGTTATACAATTAGCAA